TTTGCCCAAAGAAAGAGAAATAAGTCTAAGTTTAGAACAACAGAAAGTTGACAGATTGTCAGCCATACAGATCTCTTAAACTTAACAGGAATGAATTCAGTGACTCATCATGAAGTAAGTTTCCATGGTAATTTCACTGATCTGGGAAGACACAGTACTAATGATCTTAACAGCCAGTAAGTAGCCTTGCTTCCAGGATAATAAAGGGCCTCAAGGACTTCAATCAGGCCTTTTTGTTAACATGTGTTATAATACTATTTGCTACAGGCTGAAATGTGATATAAAGCCATTATTGGGATCTTTACAGTTATATAAGGTAAAGCCAAAAACATAATCAGAAACATAGGAAAAAATCTAGTGTTTAGATTTTTTTCACCCTATTATTAACCTACTAGTCTTCTACTACTAACCTACTAACTTAAACCTAGTACAAGGTGGTTCATTTACTGAAGTATTAAGAAAGCAAGATGTTTGTACTCAGCATTCCTACTGGTTTTTCTTCAATCCCTTGGAATCAGGGTTCAAGCTCTACCACTCTGCTATAATAAACCAGTTCTCTCAAAGGTTACTCGTAACTTCTTAATGGACAAAGTCTTGTTCTTTCAATCTCATTTTTCTTAAATAATAAAAAAAAATGTAAAGGAAGGACATTTAGCAGTACTATACCTTAAACTATATTATAAGGCAGTAATTATCAAAACTATCTGGTACTGTCTAAGAAGCAGTTCAATTTCTTTGAGATTTTCTTGACTATACTATAATTTGTACATTCAGGTCAATTTGGGAAATACTGTTGGGGTATCTAGATACATCAGGATCTGGACTGGACCTGCGATTTCATCAGAGTGGGAAGCTTCTGGATGAGGAGAATTCCATCAACATAGATTTGTAATTGCTGTTCAACTAAGAAAAGGAATTGACTAGACCAGTAGTATCAAACTGAAACATGTTCCACCAGACTGTATGTAAGGATCCCTGCCAGATACACATTGACTTAGACGACCACACATTAACATTGTTTTACATATTATATTGATGCTCAGTTGTGTCTGCCTCTTTGTGACCCTGTGGACCACAGCATACTAATGCTGTGAGGTTTTCTTGGCAAAGATACTGGAGTGTTTCCCTATTTCCTTCTCCAATGGATTAAGGCAAACAAAAGTTAAATGAGTTACCCAGGGTAACATAGCTAACATGTCTAAGGCTGAATTTGAAGTCAGGTCTTTCTGATTCCAGGCCTAGGGCTCTACTGAGCCACCTAGTAATTGCCTCTATCATAGATCATATATTTATGTAAAAATACATATTTTATTATGTATTTTCATTTATTTTGTTAAATATTTCCCAATTACATTTTAATCTGGTTCAAGCCCTCTTGGGAGTGTTCTGGATTACACATGGCCCCTGGTCTCCTGTTTGACACCTTTGCTCTAGAGCACTGAGAAGTTAAGTGACTTGCATCCTTTAAGTCCCAACTAAAATCCTATCTTCTACAGGAAGTCATCCCTAATCCCTCTTGATTCCAATGCTTTCCCTATTTTAATTACTTCCTATTAATCCAGTAGATAGCTTGCTTTGTATATATGTTTGCATGTTGTCTCCTGCCATTAGACTGCAAACTCCCTGATGGTAGGGACTATCTTTTGCTTCTTTTTGTATCCCCAGTGCTTAGCACAATGCCTGGCACTTCGCAGGCACTTAACAAATGTTTATTGAATTGAATTGCACAGAGTCACAAAGGTAGAATCTATCAGAAGCTTGAATCCGGGGCTTCCTGGTCTGAGGCCAATACTATCCACTACACAAAGTTGTCTCTGATAGATAAGTAGAGTATATCCAAAAATAAGTATAAAGAAGAGGCAGGTTTCTGTGAATTTTACAACACTCATCCTTTCAGAAATCTCAAATCAGAAGAAAAATGTACCACAGAATTTTAGATATGAAATATGTCTTGGAGACCATCCATTTTACCTCTCATTTTACAGATAAGAAAACTCATAGGTACAATGAGTTAATACTTACATCTGTAAAGTGAAAACTCATCTGTAAAACCGTGGCAAGACAGGTTAAGTGAGCTGTCGAAATTCAACTTGCTTAACCCTAGGAACAGGTTATAGGATCAAAGTATTTAGACCAGAAGGGACCTTTAAAATGAACTATTCCAAGCCTTATACTTTATTGATAAGGAAATAAAGGTCCCAAAAGGTCAAGTGATTTGCCCAAGGTAAAATAGATAGCAAGAGAGGCAAGGTCAATAAGGAGACAACCTCAAAGTCAGGAAGCCCTGGGTTCATGTACCATCTCTGACAAATACCGGCTTGCCTGGCAAGTCACTTAACCTTTATGTGTCCCAGGGAAACTCTAAGAGGAAGTTGCACAGCTTGTGCAAATCTCCATTGGTAGAAAAGTTTTCTCATCAGTTATTTCCTTATACTAATGGAATCAAAGATTCTCATCTCCAACCCAGAAGAATCAAAGCTAGGACCTCTGACTCACAAACTGTTCTTTCTATTATACCACACTGCCTTTGGCATCTAGCTCTAACACTGAGTTGTATATAATCTTTCAAAATTGTATTCAAAACTTATTCATTGCCTCCTCTTTGTTGACATATTAAAGCACCTATACATAAACTCTTTTCATAATTGAATTCTGAATTCAGAGACCATCTGGTGTTCTTAGAACTGGTGTCTTCCCATGTACATTTATTCTGTGCTTATCATGTTTGAGGAAATGTGCCACACACACACACACACACACGATAGTCACTGCCCTCAAGAAATATGTTTGTAACATCATGTACTAGGGTTAGCTCTGTGAAGAATGATTTTTCTTAGTAATCATTATCTTGGACACTCACAGCTCCCTCATTGACCTTTTTTCCAAAGTTTAGTATCTTTTTCAGGAGGACATTAAGATCTAATCTAAATGGCTCTATTCCAGCTTATCTATTCCTGCTCATTGTGTTGCCCAGACAGGTCTTGGGAAAATGTTGACTTCTCCCTATTATCAAGACAGGTGATATGGAAATTGATGCTTCTTTGACCTAGATGAAGTGACCTAAGTCCAGTACCCCAAGAGCCACTTCTGGACTGTAACTCCCATCCAGTGCATGAGTGCCACCACTTTAAGAATTTAAAACCACAGGCACAACCTAACTCTATTTGTCTCTTTCTTAGAACAAAGTCTTCAAGGTTGATAGCTCCCACTTTGTTCTGCCAAAAGATGGCTGGCCTTCAAGATGGCTTTATGTCCTCAAGATGAGAGAATGCTAGAGATCTCTTGGAAACAAAGGACCCTAGTAACAGGAAACTGAAAAATTACTTCAAAGTTGGGTTCCTGTGCATCTTTTGTCTTTTTTATTTTTTTAAGGGTCTGATTTTTCACAAACCTGCTCTGTCAGTCCTTAATTTCCTTTCACGTTGTAATTCATCTCTTTTTTTCAGTCCTAAGTTCTCAGGCTTCATGATTTCTTCCCTGACCTCTTTCTGACTAGACTTTTGGCTTCTGACTAGACTTAGTACATTTCCATTAGCAATTCCTCCACCCAAAATTTGGATGGTTTAGGTGACCAAGTACTTAATATGATATAGGGTAAAAGCCATTAAGCCAGAGAACCTGGGTTTGAGTGCAGGCTCTGCTACTTACTACTGGAGGAAATGGAGTGTAGTGGAAAAAAACCCCTACATTTGCAGTGAAAGGAACTGGGTTCAAATCCTTGCTCTAATGATTATTACATTTGTAAGTGCAAGTCATTTAGTCTCTGTGGGCTTGTTTCCTCATCTGTAAAATACGGGGGGGGGGGGGGGGGTTGGGTTAGATTGCCTCTAAGATCTTTTACAGTTTTAAATCTATATATGATCTTTATAAGGGACTAGATATACTCTGAGCTCCCTTCCAGCCAATTCTATGATTACCTTGGGGTTCAGCTTCCAACTCAGTACAATGAAGGGGATGGGGGAGGGGCGAGAGTTGAACACCACGATCCTTAAGATCCTTTCTAGCTTAAAATTTTGATTACCCTGGACTCTGGTTTCCAACTCTGTACAATGAGGGGACAGACTGTGCCCAAGGTCCCAGATTTACAATTTTTTTTGCTTTCTTTTTTTAATTTTTAGTTTTCATTTTTATAAGATTTTGAGTTCTAATTTTTTCCCCTCATCTCCCCTCCCCCTCCCCAAGATGGTATGCAATCTGATATAGGCTATAGATGTATAATCATATTAAACATATTTCCACATTAGTCATGTTGTGAAAGAAGAATCAGAACAAAAGGGGAAAAGCACAAGAAGAAAAAACAAACAAAAATAATACGCTTGGATCTGCATTCAGACTCCATAGTTCTTTCTCCGGGTGACTCCATAGTTCTTTCTCCGGGTGACCCCATAATAGCGAGGGACCTGCAGGTGACCTTCTTTAAAATGATGTCCCTTTAATATAGTAAGAGAAAACATAACGAATATATGACCACAGGAGATAAAACGTGTAGATGGCGTTCGTTCTGTTTTAAAGGAGGTGGTGGCAGTGGTGGGGACTGTTGTAGCTGGGCCTTGGGGGCACTGGGCCCACACGTGGTGGGGCAGCGGGCTCAGTGGGGGGCGCGGGAGACGGGACCACACGGGGATCGGGGGGGGGGGGGGGGGCTGCGAGGGGTGGTCTCGCAGGGATGCTCCGCTCGCTCCCAGGCCCGTGGCCTCAGGGAGCTTGGACCGGGGCCAGCGCCCCTGGCCTCTCCCTCCCCCCTGCCGTGACTCAGCGCTTCCTCGTCGCTGCGGACACCGGCTCCGGCCCGGCCCGGCCAGGCGGGGACTCCTCCCGGCGCATCCACCCCATCCCCCCGTCCCCGCCCCCTCCTCCGCGGGGCCCTCCCCGCAGCGGCCGCGGCGGCTACTACCACCACAAGAAGCCCGGCAGCGGCCGCAGTCCAGCCACTGCAGCAGCACCGGCCAAGACAGCCGCGCCCCTCCCTGCTCCCGACGCCGCCGCTCGGCCCGCCCCCCCAGCGCCCCCCGCGTCCCCCGCGCACGCGGAGCCTCCTGACGCCGCCCGCCGCCGCCGCACGAGCCTCCCGCCCTCGCTCCCGCAGCCATGGAAGCCTCGGTGCACTCTCTCTACACCCAGAAGCGGGGCTACGACCTGACGCGGAACCCCCACCTCAACAAGGTACCCGAGTGCCCCCCACACCTGCCCGGGGGCAGGCGCGTTCTCCTCCGGCCGCCGCCGTCCACCCCGCGGCCAGGCTCAGGCTTTGCCCCGCCGTCGTCCTCACACACAGGAAGGCTCGGTCATCCTTACACACCCAAGGAGGCTCAGTCATCCTCATATTCAGGGAGGTTCAGTTATCCTTACACACCCAGGGAGGTTCAGTCATCCTTACACACCCAGGGAGGCTCAGTCGTCCTCATGTTCAGGGAGGTTCAGTCATCCTTACACACCCAGGAAGGCTCAGTCCTCCTTACACAACCTTATACACCCTTACACACCCAGGGAGGCTCAGTCATCTTCATGGTTAGGGAGGTTCAGTCATCCTTACACACCCAGGGAGGCTCAGTCCTCCTTACACAACCTTATACAGCCTTACACACCCAGGGAGCTTCATTCAGAGGGGGGCTCAGTCTTCCTCACATTCAGTTGTAATGCTGTTCAGGGAGGCTCAGTCATCCTTACACACCCAGGGAGGCTCAGTCCTCCTTACACAACCTTATACAGCCTTACACACCCAGGGAGGCTCAGTCATCCTCATGTTCAGGGAGGTTCAGTCCTCCTTACACACCCAGGGAGGCTCAGTCATCCTCATGTTCAGGGAGGTTCAGTCCTCCTTACACACCCAGGGAGGCTCAGTCCTCCTTACACAACCTTATACAGCCTTACACACCCAGGGAGCTTCATTCAGAGGGAAGCTCAGTCTTCCTCACATTCAGTTGTAATGCTGTTCAGGGAGGCTCAGTGGCCCTCACATACACTCAGTCATTCTTTCATGCTCTCCTGGGAGGCTCCCACCAGTCTCAGGGTCAGTCGTCCTCCTGCCCAGGGAAGCTCAGTCACCTTTATACCCATGCTTAGTCATTATTGTGCTCAAAGACTCAATCATCCTTATATTCAGAGAGAGGCTCAAGCCTACTCATAGTCATCAATAGGCACCGTCATAGACTGAAGTTCACACTCACAGGTTCTGTCACAGGTTTAATTTTTATACTTTGGCAAGCTCCAGTATTGATTAGCTGCCACTCTCAAAGGCTCCATCATAGGATCACAATCATAATAATAACAGCAGCTAACATTTATATAGCACTATTTGAGACATTGTGATAAGTGCTTTCCAGTCATCACATTTGATCCTTACTACAACCCTTGGAGGTAGGTTTTATTATTCCCATTTTTACAGATGAAGAAACTGAGGCAAACAAGTTAATTGACTTGCTCAGGGTCATACAACTTCTGTGTGTTTGAGGTGGAATTTGAACTCAGGTCTTTCTGACTGCAGACAGATTAAGCTAGGTTGCATGGAGTGTATAGTGGTGGTGCTAGAGTCAGGAAGACTTATCTTCTTGAGTTCAAATCTGGCCTCAGATGCTTATTAGCTTTGGAACTGGGTAAGATATTTTAACCATTCGCCTCTCATCCGTAAAATGAGCTGGAGAAGGAAATGGCAAACCACTCCGGTATCTTTGTTAAGAAAATCCTAAATGCACTTACTAGCTGTGTGACCCTGGGCAAGTCACTTAACCCCAATTGCCTCACCTAAAAAAAAATATCCTGAATAGAGTCATAAAGAGTTGGACACCACAATGGAAAAGCAACAATTTTCTGACTCCATGCTGAGCACTCTATCCACTGTGCCGCCTAGCTGCCTTGAGTTCATTCAGGTTCACTGGCACCCAGCACAGATTTGTAACATAGTCACCTGTCCACTTTAACATTCGCAGAGGATACCTGCTCACTCATGTTTATAAAATCAGTCACACACTCATGCACATTCACAGGCTCATTCATTTGTTCACTGTTGTGCATGGGCTTATTCGTGTGCACTGTTATGCCCAAGCTCACATGCTTACATAATCACAGATCCAGTCTTATATTCATTCTGGTAGCCCAACATTTGTTCATTTTTAAGGAGATTAAATCATATGTGCAGTCTCGGCTTTAATTTGACTCATTGGCTCAGTCATTTATTTAGATTATATATACGAAAGCACTTGCGTACTTTGATTGCAAGAAGAGGGACATCAGGGGAATGTGGATAAAGGGAATCAGTCATTTTAGGTTAGTCTTGATGCTGTGAAATGTAATAAGGCATATGGCAGCTAATGGAGATTGGAGTGAGGGAAATGGATGTGTAAGTCTCAGATACAAACATAAATTCTTACTGGGTATTTATATTGTAATATGGACGTTAAGCTTTTTGGGTAACAGGGACATAACCTGGGAACTTTGTAGGCAGAAAGAACCCATCTAGATCTAGGCTTCTTGGTGTCTTAATTATTCACTTTTGAATCTGGCATTATTCAAGGTGAAGATATTACTAGGCCTCTTTTCATTTTTGTTGATGGGGTATTTATTGTATGGTGTTATTTGTAAAATCTGGGATTTTGATAGTGTTTTAGGTGAATTAATCATCCTCCCTCGAACCTAGATGTACCTATTAGGAAGTTTTCCCAAATGAAAAGAAGTTTTAAATTTGTAGTTTGAATTATTTGGCCAAGGGGTTGACCAAGGGTTAGTCAGACTATGTATTATTCTACTACTTTGTTTTTACTTATCCTTTACACCTTCATAAATTTATGATTCATAATAACTTTAATGAGTTCTTAAGACTAAAATGGTTCGTGTCCTGGACAATCCTTTGGTGATGAGCCTCTCTTGTTTGATCATCATTATAATATAATAGTTGGAGATATGTGATTTTTTTCAGATTTATGTGCCAATATTATTATTTGAAAAATATAACATATATAAGCACATGAATTCTTGTAATAAGGCATTTTTAGAATTGCCTGTTTTGTGGTTTAGCATTTTGTTTCATAAATGTTTTCATTATTCACCTTTCCTTTTTTCTTTAAAATAACTTTTATCATTAGTTTATTGTTAGTTACTTTTCATTTGCTGTTGTTCCACAGGTTGGGCTTGATTTTCAGAAACACCAGTATATAATTTTACATATGCTTTCAAAACAATTGTTGTTTTACCATGCTGTACCAAATTAAGGGTTTATCACTAGAGAAGAATCTCTGTAAGTGGTATAACCTGTTTGAATTTCCTCAAATTAAGAGGCAGGAAGCCTTTTAGAGGGGAAGAGTTGAATAAGCAATCTGTGAACAAAGTTGACTACACTTTTGTTGTTGATGATGAGTTGTTTCAGTGTCTAACTCTTCCTGATCTCATTTGGAGTTTTCTTTACAGAGATTATGGAATGGTTTCCCATTTCCTTCTCTAGCTCATGTTACAGATGAGGAAACTGAGGCAAACAAGGTTAAGTGACTTGCCCAGGGTCACATAACTAGTAAGTGTGAGGCTGCATTTGAACCCAAATTTTCCTGACTCCAGCCCCTGGCGCCACCTAGCTGCCCCTGAGTTCGCTCTTAGTACCTTTCTATTAAGAATTTCTAACATTAAAATGCTTGTAGTTCTCACCTGTCCATAAGGAGAATAAATAGTACCACTCCTAGACTTTAAAGGGGAAGCAAATGATTGTGTCAGTATATTCAAGGACAAGTTTTTTAGTTCCTTATTGTTTAGGATATGCTAATTATATTTTTTATTGCATTATATCTCTCATATCTTTTGGCACTCATGTTCTGCTGTTTACTGTATTTGTGTACATTTGAGGTATTGGATGTAACGTGCTTTGCAAACTTTAAAGTACTGTACAAATGCCCACTGTTATTTTTGTTATCTTAACCTCTCTCCTCAGTAGTAACTTCCTTGAGAGCAGAGACCAGAAAAAGCTGTCCACACATGTTACTTCTCCTTCCTCTACTCTGACATCTCAGCCCTTTGCAATCTGCTTCTGACCTCGTTGTTCAACTGAAACTGCTTTCTCTGCAGAGTTATCTTTGATCCCTTACTTGCCTAATTGGGTGATGGTCTTTTCTCAAACCTTATCCATCTCACCATCCTTGTAGTTTTCAACACTTTTAATCACCCTCTCCTCTTGGACATTCTCTGAGTTTTTATGACACTGCTGTGTCTTGCCTCCCTTCTGGTACATGCTTCTTTCTTAGTCTTCCTTTGCTGGTTCATCATTCATATTTTGCTCCCTAAATTGTTGTTCTGTTCTGAATCCTCTTCTCTTTACTCTCTCATTTCATTTTTTTGCAGTTCTATTCTGATAATTCTTAGAATTATATTCAACTCTAATCTCTTTTGAATTTCAGTAACATCTCCACCTGCCTACTGGATATTTCAAACTTCATGTCTCATAGACCTCACAAACTCAGTATGTCGGAAATTGGATTCATTATTTTTCTCCCTATATCTTCCTCTTTTCCAAATTTTCCTATTTTCTGGCAGGAATATTAGCATGTCTCTCTGGTTCTCTCAGGTTTCTAACAATAGCATTATGCTTAATCTTTCACTCTCAAACTCCACATATGTATTTATTTACCACATTTCATGGTTTTACCTCTATAGAATCTCTTACTTCTACCCCTTTGACCTTACTTAACACAGCCATCAATTTAGTTCAGACACTCATCCCTCCTAATTGGTGTCTTTGCCTCAAGGCTTTCCTGTCTCTAATCTATTATCCACACAGCTGCCAAAGTGATTTTCTTAAAATGCAGGTCTTATCATATTTAGCTCTCTACTCAGTAATCTCCAGTGGCTTTTAATTACTTCCCAAACCTACCTTTCCAGACTTACTCAATTATTCTCATTCTCACATTCTACAGTCTAGCCAAACTGACCTTCTTGCTGCTCCCCAAACATGATGCTCCATCTCATATCTGCCTCTTTCCCATGACTGTCCTCAATACTTGGAATGTACTCTCAACTCACTTTTGCCTCTTAGATTTCCATTTTTCTTTCAAAATTCTGATCAAATTTTACGTTCTGTATGAGGCCTTTCTTGATGCTAGCTGCTCTCCCACTCTCTTAATTCCCTCCCTGCCCACATTTACCTTGTACTTGTTTTATTTATATTTCCTACATGTTTATATTTGTGT